ACTCGAACCATGGTTGACTAAATGGGAGTCCAGCGACGTAGCCATTACGCTAACTGCTGGTCCCAATTATTGTTATTATTTGTAATTTGCTGTAGGGCACAGTGCTCCCTGGAAAGAGAGAGAAAGTGAGAGAGAGGGAAAGTGAGATAGCAAGCTGCCAGGTCTGGACTCAAACTGTGGTCGGTCTTGTGAAAATCTAGAGCCACTTAACCACCACGCCACCTGCTGACCCCCATGTACAATTCCTACAGAATTTTAAATATAGGATTTTTGATTTAACAAATACTGGTAATGGAAAGGTCTTTTACCAGTCACAGTATTTTTCTCTGAATTTAACTGTAAGATAATATTTTATGTGTAAATTATACACTTGAGGACTTCATTTAAAACTTGTTTTATGAATATCAAATTGATTGGATTTTATATTATTTCATAGAAAAGCAGTTTGGTGTCTATTCCAGTTGTCTTATTAGCTTTTTTATCATAGTTATTGGTGTTGGTAAGAAATTAAGTCCTGGGACCAGCAGTGAGCATAATGGCTATGTCACTGAACTCCCATGTAGTTGGCCATGGTTCAAGTCCCAGCCCTGGTGGCTTAAACTCATGCCAGGCACATGTGCATGCGTGCCCAAGATCCTGAGAAGAGAATGGAGGAAAAGGGATTGCAGCGTGGCCAATCTCCACTGGGTGGGGGGATTTCTCTCTTTCTGTCTCTCTGTCTCTCTCTCTGAGGAGCGCATGCACCCTAAAGCAAAAACCTCTCCCCCAAAAAAAGAAAAGAAAAGAAATTAAGTCCTTGGCTCAGTTTTGTTTTAGAGAGATTTTTGCTATAGGGCACGTGTGCTTGCCAGAGAAACAGAAACATAGAAAGTAAGAAATCACCCCCCAGGGGAGATGGCCATGCTGCTATCCCTTCTCCTCCATTCTCCTCTCAAGATTTTGGGCACACACATACATGTGCTCAGCATGAGTTTTAAGTTGCCAGGTCTGGGACTTGAACCACAGTCGACTATGTAGGAGTCCAGCAGCATAATCATTATGCCATCTGCTGGTCTCCTTAGCTATTATCTTAGTGTGTTATTATATTGCTAACAGAAATACGTAAGACTGGGTGACTTATAAAGAAGTAGAAGTAGAGGTTTATATTTTCATGATTCTGGTTATGTGGAAGGTCCAAAGACATCAGAGAATGGTAAAAGACAGAACTCTGAGTAGAATGGAATGTGGTCTATATCCATGTGGCTACTGTCTGCCTCATTTCCTTTCCTTATAAACACACCATGACTCAATCATGCCTCCCACCCCCAGCCCTGTCTATCCTATCACTAATCTCTTCCCAGGTGCCCATCTTTTAACATCATGATTGGATCAAATTTTTACTCTCCCAACTTATTACTATGGTTCAACACATGAATTTGGGTGAGACATACTCAAACTATAGCAGCTCTTAAATATTTTTTAATTTAACACTATTTGTGATCTATTCACCTAATATTAAAATAATATTCAGCAACTATTTTAAAATATAATAGTGAGTTGTAGTAAATTGATACATACAGAATGTTGAAGAGTAATATATTTTCTTATAGGCAGAACTTCTAGATGCTGCTGCTGGCATTCATGTACGATTCAGATTAGGTGGAGTAAGTATGGATGAATTTTTAAATTGTAGTTTTAAAGCACCTTTATATGAAATTTAAAAGATGTAATTTTTAAAAAACATAAACCATGTTTGTATTTACATTACAATGATCCTTTGAATGTTTCCATTCACAGGTTAATTTTCCACCTGATATATATTATAAAATCTTTACTCACAGACATATTGAAGATCTGTGTGCTAACAGCCCTAAAGATTATACGAAACTTGCAGCAAAACATACATCTCATAATAAAAGTGATCATCTTCCAGAAGAGGATCGTAGTGGCTGGTATCATCGTATAGAAAACAATGGTTGGAGGCCTGTTTCTGATAGAGTAAGAGCAGAGAAATATTAATACTTTTAATCTTGCAAATTTAGAAAACCATTTATCTTTTTGAAGATTAATTTTAAAACAATAAACCATGGTAATTTAATCAATGAAATTTGCATAAGTTAACCACTTTGAGGTTGCTAATAATACTTCAAAGCATAGCAATTTATCTTTTCTTACATTTATTTCTACTTTTAATAATCTGCTTAATCAAGGCCATCGTTATATACTCTCTGGTAGTTAGCAGATTTTATACTTACTCTATAGATTGTCAAATTGTGCTATGTTGAATACATTAGATATGCAGAGTAAAAATGATCAAGGCATGAATTCATTCATTCATTTAACAAACTTTATTGTGTGTTATTCATGTGTCAGACATTTTTCTAGATGCTGGGCATATGGTGGTAAAAAAGACAGTCTTTCCCCTCACGTAGTTTGCCTTTTATTTAGGGAATCAGTCAAGTAAACAGTATTTCAGTACAGCACAGTAAATATGAAAGTGGTTTAATAGATACAAATGCATAGTGTTGTCTGGGGTAGGAAACTCCTTGTTATCTGGTGTGTGTGTGGTGAGGGAGGAGGGATGAATTGGAAGTGGGGAAATAGGCAACCATTTAGGAGAAACTGTCATAGAGAGAGGATACCATGAAGTCTTAGGACATAATGGAGAAACTTTGGTTTTCCTATGGGGTACATGTACTCCTTGAAGATTAGAGTCATCAGAGCATTGGCACTAAGTCTAAGTCAGGTCTATTCATATGAGATGAGACATTCTTCATACGTCTATTCATTTATTCATTCAACAAATACTATGAAGTACCTTAATGTACTGGTCCTTTGTCAGTCTTTCTGCAGCATGTGCTTCTGAAGGTTCAATGTACTATTCACCCATCACTTAATTAGAAGTACTTTAAAAGGATCTATCCTTGCCTCTGTTTCTATCTTGGCATATTCCTACAGGACACACAGAAGCTCTTACCTATATTCAGTCAACATCACAATCAATATTCAACATTTTGTGTATTTATTTTTACATCTCAATAGTTTTGGATACCTACTGATGATGTAGTGGTGGAATCCAAAAAGGAAATAGAATTCCATTTCTCTAAACTGAAGAGAAGGCAAGATATGGAAAAGAAAAGAAAAATTAGAAAAATAGAATGGATGAGGCAAATGTAAGTTGATGAAATACTTAGACATACTAAAGAAGTAAGTATTTTTGGAAAAAAGCAAATTTGGAAGGCCACTCCATAGTGTAGTGGGTTAAACCCTGTGCATAGTAATATGCTGTATGCACATGGCCAACCATGGTTCAAATTCCAGTTCCAGTGGGGGAGAGGAGGGTACAAGAGGTGGCAAAGTGGTTGAGGCACTGTACTTCCACATGGTTGATCACAGTTTGAATCCCAGACATGGCAGTTTGAAACAAGCCAGGCACGTGTGCATGTGTGCCTAAAATCCCAAGAAGAGAATGGAGAAGGGATTGTGGTGGGGCCATCCTTCCTGGTGGTGTGATGAGCACGCACATCCTATAGCAAAAATCTCTCAAAAAAAAGAAAAAAAGAAAAAGAAAATCATGCTGGGCATGTGTGTCTGCATGCCCCCAAATCCTGACCAGATGGAGAAATGAAGGAAGACAGATTGTAGCATGACCAATCCACATTGAGGGTACTTTCAGTCTCTCTCGCTTTTTCTCTCTCTCTGGCAAGTACATGTACCCTTTGAATAGAACAAAAACAGATTTGGAGGACTTACATTATCTGATTGCAAGACTTATTTTATAGCTACTGTAATCTTGACATTGTGGTATTGGTGTAGTGATAGACAAATAGAGGCCAGCAGGTGACATGGATGTTAAGGTGGCTGGATCTCACATTTACAACAGCCTGTTTGAGCCCTGGATTCAGAGGCTTGAAAACAGGCCAGCACGTGTGTGTGTGTGTGTGTGTGTGTGTGTGCTGAAAATCCCAAGAGGAGAATGGAGAAGGGACTGTAGCACGTGGCCACCCCCCAGGTGGTGATTTCTCACTCCTTCCCTCTCCCCACCCCTGGCTCTGTCTAGCAAGCACATGCACCCTATAGCACACTAAAAAAAAAAAAAAAAAAAAAAGATAGATAAATAGATCAATAGAATAGAATATAGAGCGGAGAGCTAGGCCCTCATGTATATTGGGAATTGATGTTCAACAAATGTACCTGGGCATTTAATTGGGAAAAGACAGTCTTTTCAACTAATTTGGCATTCAAATGCAGGACAATGAACCTTGACTCTTATCTTATACAGTATATAAAATTACCCCAAAAGAGATCATAGATCAGGACCAGCCCCTTAGCACAGCACTGTGGATCCCATGAGGCTGACTGTGGTTTAAACTGGCTTCAGAAATGTGTGCATGTGAGAGGTGTCTGCACATGCCCCACATCCTACTGGAAGAAGAAATGTAGGATAAGGGATTGCAGTGTGACTGCACCCTGCTAGGAGTACACTTTCTCTCTCATCCCCATCTCTTGTCCTCATTCCCCCTCTTTTTCCCTTCTCTCTCCTGCCGCTCCTCCTCTCTTTTCTGTCTTTCCCCTTTCTTCCTCCCTCCCTTTGGTGAGCACACATGCCTTCTGGCAATGAAAGGAGAGATAGAGAGATCATAGATCTAAATATAAGAGCAAAAGTGGGACGAGCAGATAGTGTCATGATTAGGTCGCTGGATACCCATGTAGTCAACCGCAATTCGAGTTCCAGACCTGGAAGCTTAAAAACTCAGATTGGGAAGAGAAGAGATAGAAAATGGCCATCCCCCTTGGATGGTAATTTCTCATTTTGGAACCGGCAGGTTGTGTGGTGGTTAACAGTGCTGGAATCCAACATGGCAGACTGTGGTTCGAGTCCCAGACCTGGTGGTTTGCTTTCTCACTTTCCTTCTCTCTCTCTTGCTCTGTCCCTCTCTGGTCAACTTAAAATAAGTAAATAAAGAAAGTTAAATAATAATTAAAAAAAAAAACAAAAAAAAACCCCTCAGGCCAGACGTGTGTGTGTGTGTGTGTGTGTGTGTGTGTGTGTGTGCACGCACCCAAAATCCTGAGAGGAAACTGGCAGGGATAGAAGTGTGCCCATCCTCTCGGGGGGAGGGGGGGGTGGCGATCTTTCATTTTCTGTCTGTCTCTCCAGCCAGCACACACACCCTATAAAAAAAAGAAAAACTCTCTTAAAAAAATATAAAGTAAAAATAAAATTTTATAAAAATATAAAAGTAACTAAAGGATGAAGTTTTAGTGATCTTGGTTCTGACAAGATTTTAAAAATAGGACACAGAAGGTATGAACCATGAAAGAAAATAAATTAGGAGTTAGCAGGTGGCACAGTGGTTAAGGCACTAGACTTCCACATGGTCATTCGTGGTTTGAGTCCTTGACCCAGTGGCTTGAAACTCACAGCCGGGCATTTTTGGCTCTCTTGGCGGTTGGCAAGAATAAGCACCTTACCCAAGGTGGCAAGAAGTGAGCCAACAAGAAAGTGGTTCATCCATTTTCTAAAAAAGATTGGTATAATGTGAAAGCACCTGCTATGTTCAACATAAAGAAATATTGGGAAAAAAACTAGTCACCAGGACTCAAGGAACCAAAATTGCATCTGATGGCCTTAAGAGCTGTGTGTTTGAAGTGAGCCTTGCAGATCTGCAGAGAGATGAAGTTGCATTTAGAAGATTCAAGTTAATTGCTGAGGATGTTCAGGGCAATACTGCCTGACTAACTTCCATGGCATGAATCTTACCTGGGACCAAATGTGTTCCATGGTCAAAAAATGACAGACCATGATTAAAGCTCACGTCGATGCCAAGACTACTGATGGTTATTTGCTTCGTCTCTTCTGTATTGGGTAAAAACACAACAATCAGATATGGAAGACCTCTTATGCCAAGTATCAGCAGGCCTGCCAAATCCAAAAGATGATGGAATGACCCAGGAGGTGCAGACAAATGACTTGAAAGAAATGATCAATAAACTGATTCCAGACAGCATTGGAAAAGACATCAAAATGACTTCTCAGTCCACCTATCCTCACCATGATGTCTTCATCAGAAAAGTAAAAATGCTGAAGAAGCCCAAGTTTGAACTGGGAAAACTCATGGAGTTTCACAGTGAAGGTAGTAGCTCTGGAAAAGCTACTAGGGATGAGACAGGTGCCAAAGTTGAATGAGTTGATGGATATGAATCACCAGTTCAAGAATCTCTTTAAAGTTTAGACTTTTAATAGTGACAAAAAAAAATCCTATTTGTCACACTTACACTCACACAAAAGAAACTCACACTGGGCATGTGTGTATGCACATCCCAAATCCTAAGAGTAGAATGGAGGAGAAGGGATTGTGGCGTGGCCATACCCCTAGGGGGTGATTTCTTGCTTTTCTGTTTCTGTGTCATTGGCAAGTGTATGCACCCTATAGCAAAAATAATTTTTTAAAAAATTACCAAATCGTAGCTCATTAAAATGAAAAACTTTCCCTCTATGAATTATGTTACAAAAAATAAAAATGTAAACCACAGCTGGGGATGTAACATTTATACAATACATGTATAATAAAAGACTTCATCTAGAGTATGTAAAAGAAAAAATAACTCACAAAATTCAATGATAGATCTAGCAGGTGGTATAGTGGTTAAAGTTCTGGACTCCCACATGGCCGTCTGAGGTTTGAGTTTCGGACCTGGTGGCATTGGTTTCTCTCTCACTGTCTTTCTCTGGTGAACATATATGCCCTATAGAAAATTAAATAATGATAATTATAATAATAATAAAATTAAATAAGTAATTTTTAAAGGTCTCAATGATAAGGAGACAGTCTAATTTAAAAATAGCCAAAAAATTTGAACAAACATTCCATCAGTGAAGATACATGAATAGCATATTAGCACAGCTCAACTAATGTCTAACAACTGTAGTCATCAGGCAAGTGCAAACTAAAATAATAATGAGATATACCACTATATACCCACTAGAATGTTCAAAATATTCAATAACCTGCCATCCCAGTTGTTGGCAAGGATATGGAACAAATGCAAACTATTGTAGTAAATCCACTTTGGGCAACAGTTTGGCCATTTCTTTTACAAGTTAACGAATCTCTTATTCAACTCAGCCATTCCACCCCAAGATGCTTATTCAAGAGAGAAAAAATACTCAAAATTTATGTTCACAGAAAGACTGCATATGGATGTTTTCTGTAGGTTTATTTGTAATTGCCAGAACCAGAAACGGCACAACAGGTGAGTGGATAAACAAATTGTGGTGTATCAAAATAAAGGCATACTACTCAGCAGTACAAAGGAATGAACTATTGATACACATAAAAACATGAATGAATCTCAGAGTAATGGTGCCTAAGGAAAGAAATCGGTTTTAAAAAAAAGTATATATATTTGCTATAGTTTGAATGTCCTCCCAAAATTCGTATGTTGGGACTTCATTGTATTTTAAAAATTTTAAGTGAAAATTTGATACCTTCATGGTGTTCCAGGGTGGCCTTTGGTTGTGAAAAGTCATTAGGGCAGGGTCACCATGAATGAGTTCTGGTGTGTACATAGGGGAAAGGAAATGAAGCAGGCAGAAGCCATGTGTATATAGACCATGTCCTGCTCCGATAAAAGTTCTGCCTTCCACCATTTTGTGATGTCTTTGGAATTTTCAGTTACCAGAATCATGAGCTTTACAAATAAACTTCTACCTTTATAATTCATCCAGTCTCAGATGTTCTTGCAAGCCACAAGGTAATGGGCTAAGTCAATATTGTATGGTACTATTTACATAAAAATTTTAGAAGAAACAAATCTATTGAGTAGAATGACACAAACAGATCAATAGTTGTCTGAAAATGGGAGGGAAGAAAGAAAAGAATTATAAAGCTTTTCACCAAGATGGTGCTGAAAGCGAAGAAGGAAGCTCCTGCCCCTCCCAAAGCTGAAGCTAAAGTGAAGGCTTTGAAGGCCAAGAAGGCAGTGCTGAAAGGCATCCACAGCCACAAAAACAAAGATCAGTACATCACCCACTTTCCAGAGACTCTCCTGCTGCGGAGGCAGCCTAAATATCCTTGTAAGAGCGCCCCCAAGAGAAACAACCTTGACTACTATGCCATCATCAAGTTCCCCCGACAACCGAGTCTGCCATAAAGAAGATAAAAGACAACATAGTTGTATTGTTCATTGTGGACGTCAAGGCAAACAAGCACCAGATCAAACAGGCTGTGAAGAAGCTGTATGGTATTAATGGGGGCAAGGTCAACTCTCTAATCAGGCCTGATGGAGAGAAGAAGGTGTATGTGCGACTGGCTCCCGATTATGATGCTTTGGATGTTGCCAACAAAATTGGGATAATCTAAAGCAATCCAGCTGGCTAATTCTAGACACACATTTTTCCACCAAAAAAAAAAAAAAAAAATTATAAAGAGGCACAAGGAAACTTTGGTGGTGTTAGTTACATTCATTTCTCCATTGTAGTGATGAATTCATAGATTGTATACATATGTCAGAATTGCAAAGTATATAATTTAAATATTTGTAGTTTATTGTACATCAATTATACTTCCATAAACTTGTATACATTTTTAAAATGAACATGTTTAGACAATGAAAAGATCTTCATGGCAGCTTTGAAGTAATCCTTATCTTTTATGGGGTGAGTTGAGGGCAACCCAAGGTCCAGTTGCAAAAATTACAGGAATAGTGTTTCCAATACAAAGAAATGCTCAGTCCTGCCAAGTCTTTTGCACTAAGATAAGGGCACTAGGAGGGAAGAAGAACTCTGAGCCCTGTCATGAGGACTTGGGACAGACATAGATAATGGTAAGACTCTCCAAACACCCTTGCCTGTGAAGGGAACATTTGCTCCCTTTATTTATTTATTTTGAGAGGTTTTTGCTATAGGGCACATGCGCTCATCAAGACAGAGACAGACAGAAAGCGAAAAATCACCCCCCAGGGGGGATGGCCAAGCCGCAATCCCTTCTCCTTCATTCTCCTCTCGGGATCTTGGGCATGCACGCACACGCACCTGGCATGAGTTTAAGCCACCAGGTCCAGGACTCAAACCATGGTCGACTACAAGGGAGTTCAGCGACATAGCCATTACGCTAACTGCTGGTCCTGCTAACCTGTTTTTTTTCATCTTTATTTATACCACTTAACTATATTTGTGACTAATTTTTTAAAAATTCAAAACATAAGAATTAAATTGTAAGAAAATGATTAGAACTTTCTTGAAAACCAGGTACAGCCATGCATTATATGACATTTCAGTGAACAGTGGACCACATATACAAGTGGTCTAAGATTATAATGGAACTAGAACATTTCTATTCCTTGGTGACAGTGTAACTTTTGTAATGCTAGAGCACAGTGTTTATGAGAATACTTGTGTACACAAACCTACTGCTGACAGTCATATGAAAGTATACCTAATAAAATTATAAACAGTAATACTTGATACTAAAGAACTATGTTACCAGATAATGTATTTACTATTCTATACTTATTATTTCCTTGTGTACTCCTTTTAGTTATTAAAAAAAGTTTAAAACAGTATGCCGTGTTAAACCAGCAGCCTCATATATCTTGTGTAAGGCTTACTGTTTTCTCTTGATTGCATCATTTTCTGTAGTGTTTGATTCAATTTTGTGTTTTGTTCATTATGGCCCTCCCAGTAGGACAAGATGTGGAGGTGAATTTCAGTGATACTGATAATCTTGACCCTGTACAAGCCTAAACTAATGAATGTGATTGTGTCTTAGGTTTTAACAAAAGAAGTTTACAAAGTAAAAACAAATAAGTAAATAACTTTAAAAATAGAAAAAAAAACAATGATAGAATAAGGATTAAAGAAAATAGGGAGATGGAGCCTACATGTTCAACTACATGGCTTGACCAAGCCTGGTGGCTTGAAAAACATACTGGGCGTGTGTGTGTGTGTGTGTGTGCAGGCCCAAAATTCTTGTAGGATCAAGAAATAGAAGAAAAGGATTGTGGCATGACTTCACCCCACTGGAATGTTCTCTTTCTCTCTCTTTTTCTCTTTGGTGAGCACATGTACCCTCTGGCAATAGAAAATGTTTATAAAAGAAAGCTGAAGGAGGAAAAAACACTTTTTATATCTGTACAATGTGTTGTGTTTAAAGCTAAGTGTTATTACAAAAGAGTCAAAAAGTTGAAAGAGGGTCAGCCCTGTAGCCTAGTGGTTGGAGGAACTGGATCCCAAATGACTAACTACGGTTTGAGCGCTAGCCCTGACAGCTTGCAAAAGATGTTGGGCCCATGTGCATGCATGCCTCAAATCCTAGTAGGATAGAGAAATGGAGAGGAGTTTGCAGTGTGACCATGCCCCACTGGGGAATGCTCTCTCCTTCTCTCTGGCAAGCGTATGCACTCTGTGGCAGTTAAAAAATTATTTTTAAATGAATAGTTTATAAAGTAAAAAGATAGAGTAAGCTAAGATTATTGAAGAATGGAAATGATTTTCTTTATAAATGTGTTTAAATGTCTACTGTGTGGGGCCAACAGGTGGCATGGTGCTTGAGGCACTGGTCTCCCATGTGGGCAACTGTGGTTGGAGTCCTGTACCTGCTGGTTTGGTTTCTCACTTTCTCTCTCCCTGGTTATTATAACAATACATAAAATTAAATAAATAATTCTAAAAAAACAAAAGTCCATAGTACACCCAGCTGTGTTGGCACAGAACTTTTAAGTCTCAATTTCTTCATCCTTAAAAATGATATAAAAGTAGTTGTCACAAGTAGCTGTGCCTTTTTAAAGAGAATTAAACAAAATAATGTATGAAAAGTATCTGGCACAAATAAGATGTTAATATCTGTCTCCCTTTTACCTCTTCTCTCTCTTTCCTTCTTGTGCTTTCCTTTCCTCTGAGTATGTACCATAGCCTCATGACCATCAAAGTTAACTCTTCCAGGATTTATTTCTTCACTTATAAAGTGAATGGGCTAGTTACTTGGTTTTTAAGATCCTTTGTACTCTATAATTATATAGTTCAGAGACTTAGTAACTTAGTTTTAGTTGTTTTTTTTTTTTTTTTTTTAAATCATAAAGTGTAACTTATTGAGAGGTAGTTTTTTTTTTTTTTTTGGAGAGGTTTTCACTATAGGGTACATGCGCTCACCAGACAGAGACATAGAGACAGAAAGCAAGAAATCACCCCCCAGGGGAGATGGTCATGCTGCAATCCCTTCTCCATTCTCCTTTCAGGATCTTGGGCACACATGCACATGCACCGGGCATGAGTTTTAAGCCACTGGGTCCAGCACGTGAACCATGGTCGACTACGTGGGAGTCCAGCAACCTAGCCATTATGCTAACTGCTGATTCCCAAGAGAAGTAGTTTTGAAGTAAGGCCCCTCTAGTTAGCGTGGTTGATTAAGTTTCTTTGTCTCTCAAAACATCCCATCACATAGACCTTGATTTATTTCATTTATTTTTTTAAAGATTTATTTCATTTAATTTATTATTATCATCTTTAGTTTGTTGTAGGGCATGCATACTCACCAGGAAGAGACAGAGAGAGAAAGAAAGTGAGAAAGCAAGCTACCAAGTCCAGGACCTGAACTGCAATTGGCCATGTGGGAGTCTAGTACCTCAACCAGCATGCCACTGCTGGCACCTAGTTCTTGATTTAAATGGATTTGAGTTATATAGGATAGAGACTAGATTAAAATATGTAAATAGTTTTAGCATGTAAATAGCAACAATACATATCAACTGCATCTATGTATAATCACTCATTCCAAATGATTTATGTCTGTCTGCTTTTCCTCCATGTAGGTACTATGCAGGAAGCCTGGAGGCTAAGGCAACACATTATGAAACTGTAGGTTTAATTCACACAGCAACTAAAGGGCTAATAAGAGCTATTGAAGATGGTGGGATAGATTCCGTGATGGAATGGGAAGTGGACGAAGTGCTTAACTGGACAAATACACTGAACTTCGATGAGTAAGTATATTGGTATTCTTAGGGAACAAGATATTTTTTCTCCTAGTGTTTTTTATTCTTATGTTGAATCTTAGGGCCACAAACATAATTTTTTAAAGAACTGGGTATTACTTACATCTAGAAAGAAAAAAGATGAAAGATAAAACCAGATTAAAGTGACTCAAAAGTAAAAAACACAAAATGAAATTTAGTTGTTCTTTATTTTCAGATTTTATTCTTATGCCTTAGTGTAACTCTCCTTTTCTTCTTACTTTGGGAATTAGAAACAAGGGTAAGAAATGCTATAATACGAAGAATTTCTTTAATCTGTGTTCCCTAATTTTTCTGTGTGAGATAGTGAATAGTTACCATTTCTCAGTGATCCACTATGAACCTTGAAAACCTTTTTTTTTAAGGTTTTTGCCATACGGCCCATGCACTCACTGGGGAGAGAGATAGGGAGAGAGACACAGACAGTAAAGGAGAAAGTGAGAAGGCATCCCCCAGGGGGGATGGCCACACTGCAATCCCTTCTTCTCCTGGGATCTTGAGCATGCACACATATGAGCCTGGCATGAGTTTTAAGCTGCTGGATCTGTGACTTGAACTGCTGTCAACAACATGGGAGTATAACAGGATAAGCACTATACCATCTGCTGGCCTGAAAAACATTTTTAAGGATAAAAAACATTTGGGGCCAGGGACCAGCAGTTAGCATAATGGCTATGTCGCTGTACTCCCATGTAGTCAACCGCTGTTTAAGTCCCAGACCTGGTGGCTTAAACTCATGCCAGGCATATGTGCGTGTGTGCCCAAGATCCTGAGGAGAGAATGGAGGAGAAGGGATTGCAGAATGGCCATGCCCCTGGGGGGTGATTATCTCACTTTCTGTCTCTCTCTGTCTTTCTGGCAAGCGCACGTGCCCTATAGCAAAAACCTCTCCAAAAAAAGAAAACAAAATTTGAGCCCATCTGTTAGCGTAATGGCTATGTCGCTGAATTCCCATGTAGTCGACTGCGGTTTGAGTCCCGGACCGGGGGGCTTAAACTCACGATTGGCGCGTGTGTGGGTGTATGCCCAAGAATCCTGAGAGGAGAATGGAGGAGAAGAGATTGTGGCATGGCCATCCTCCCTGGGGGGTGATTTCTCACTTCTGGCGAGCACACGTGCCCTATAGCAAAAACCTCTCCAAAAAAAAGAAAAGGATAAAAAATATTTTTAGCCATTAGGGACATGTGATCAAAACCATAGTAAGATACCATTTCATACATGCTAGGATGGGTATAATAAAAAGACAGAAGGCAGTTAAGTCTCAGTAAGAATATGGAGAACTTGAAACCCTAGTATGCTGCTAGTTGGAGTGTGCAATAGCACAGCCACTTTAGAAACGCTCAGGCATTGGGGCCAGCAGATGGTGTAGTAGTAGTAGTCAAGGTGTTGAACTCCCACGTGGACAATTGCAGTTCGAGTTCCTAATCCAATGGCTTGAAAATCATGCCAGGTGCATGTGTATGTGTGCCCAAAATCCTGAGAAGAGACTTGAGAAGAAGGGATTGTGGCATAGCCATCCCCCTTTGGAGGTGATTTCTGATTTTCCCTCTCTCTGTGTCTCTCTAGCAAGTGTATGCACCCTATGGCAAAAACCTTTAAAAAAAAAAAAAAGAAAAAAGAAAAGAGAAACAATTTAGCAGTTCTTCAATTGGTGATACATAAAGTTGTCATGTACTCTAGAAATTCTACTCCTAGATATATACCCAAGAGAAATGAAAATACTTGTCTACACAAAAACTTATATATTAATATTCATGGAAGCATTATTCATAATTACAAAGTAGAAATAACTGAAATGTCCAACAGCTGATAAATGGATAAATAAAATATGCTATGTCTATAAAGTAGAATATTATTTGGCATTAAAATTAGATGAATTTTGGGACCGGCTTCATAGCCTAGTGATTAAGGAAGCCAGATCCCACATGGCCAACCACAGTTCAAATCCTGGCCCTAGGGACCAGCAGTTAGCATAACGGCTATGTTGCTGGACGCCCACGTAGTCGGCTGCGGTTCAAGTCCTGGATCCGGTGGCTTAAACTCGCACCAGGCGCGTGTGTGTGCGTGCCCAAGATCCCGAGAAGAGAATGGAGGAGAAGGGATTGCAGTGTGACCATCCCCCCTGGAGGGTGATTTCTTGCTTTCTGTCTCTCTGTCTCTGTCTGTCTGGTGAGTGCACGCACCCTATAG